ATTTTTTATTTTTCTATTTGTTCTTTTCTAACAAATTGTTGAGGAAAGATAAAAATGAAGGGATAATTTGTGTATGTGTGTCTGAATTAGTATGTGTGTCTGAATTAATAATGTCCAAACAATAGCATTTCCTTAATGTTTTATTTCCTTCAGTATGTCTAAATATTGGTTTGTTTGCTCAAATATGAATTCCAAATAAATCATAAAGAAAACGATCTAGTGGAACTTAGCATCAGATACAATAGCAATATATTCAAGAATTAGGATAAACATTACAAGTGCATGAAACAAAGCCGAGCTTAGACAAAAGCAATATATTCAACAATTAGGACAAACATTACAACTTTACAAGTGTCTGATATCAAGTATTATTTCATTTGTTATACAATCACTAATTCCAACAAACAAGCAAGAGGAATTACGTTTTGTATATGTACTTCAATAAATAGAATAAGTTTCTTTTACAGGTTTCATTTCTACAGTCAGTTTGTGATGTTTTAATGGCAAGAATTGATGATAGCATATTTTTTCTCGTTGTAGTAAAAAAGTATAAAATAAGATATGCAGACATAACAATAACAAAATATTAAGACAGAAATGTTGGATACAAAAAACATACCTCAAAACATTAAAGAAGCTTCTAAACATTTTCAAAACAAAATCCTTACATCCAGTATCTAGTATTACCTGCAGTTTAGCAAAAGTCTCCAATAAGCTTTGTCTATTCACTTGTTTTACAGGGTTGGTCGTTTACATAAGCTTAGGATATTATGATCAGTTTTAATGTCTTATATTTATGTTAAATTTATAGGAACCACCTTTGCTCACCGAAGATCTTATCAAGGAGACAAAGCAATTTGTGTCTAGAACTGGAAGGTCAGTCTACTTACACATTTTGTTTGAATAATTTTTTGCTGGAGTCATTTTGAGAAGTAACCATGAATTGATGCGAGTTGACCGATTGCTAAATAAAACGTAAAATCAATTTATAAAACTAATCATGTTGTAAGATTTCAGAAATCTGATTTGTACCCTCTAACTGGTGGTCGTGCTCCACCTAAAATCACGTCCAGCCTCGCCGGTGACCCATCATGCTGCAGCAGCCAGCCTCGGCTCCAACACCTTCCTTTCGGCTCCAAGCAATCCATTTGTTGTTTAAGGATGATATCTTTGCATAGAGCTTTATATCACAACAAGTACCAGAACATGAATATTTACCTGCAAAATCAAATAATAGATAATTTATATGGTGTTGTATGAATAG